CTGCCGTTCATCTTACAAGCTTTGGACCAGCTGCAGCTCGACGGCTCTGCTCAGGCTGCTGGGGTGCCTTCCTGGAAAAAGGTACCACCCCTATCAAATAGATGCTGTTCTTATGGTGCCAGACCAAACAGAAAACAAAAACACGATACCCCGAAACATCTCTACGGGAATGGGCACATTGTCCTTCCTGTCCTTGTTCCACAGGCCACAGCAAGTCACAGGGTCACACTCCGGCTCGGTGGGCAGCAGAAACATCCTCTCCTCCCGAGGATCATAAGGCAGCCTTCCTCAAGGAAGAGTGAAAGATTAGCAACCCTTCAGAGGGAGGCCAGGCCGGCCTGGGTTGGAATGTCAGCTGGGGTCACCAACCCAAACCAAATTCGCTGCCATCGAGTCTATAGGGAAGAGCAGCATGGCCCCTTTGGGTTTCTAAGGCTGTAAGTCTTTCCGAAGCAGAAAGCTTCATCTTAAGGTGAGTTTGAACTCCCCACCTTACAGGTAGCAGTCCTGTGCTTACCCCAGGGTGCTGCCAGCAAGCTCCTTCGATGAGGTGTGGTCGTGAATACCTGCACAAAGCACTTAGCTCCTCTCCTGGAGCACAGCCAGGCTTTGATAACTCTCCACTTACAATGGAATCTATACCGCGCGCCTTCTGGGCCTTGAATGGCACCTGGCAATAATCCTTGCCCCTCATCAGATCGCAGCCTCTCTGAACAGACGGAGTTCCTCCATTCCACAGGGGCGGCCCCCTTGCTTTACATGTGGGTCAAAGGACGCTGGCCAAGCGGAAGGAATGTGAGGACCAGGACTAGACGCGCCTCATCGGAAGGCCTGTGGAAGAATGGCCCAGGGTGACAGCCTATAGCCCCGATACGGAGGGAATCACCAAGCAGATCCCAGGGGGATCGAATTTGCCCGCTCAGGGACACACTAGCTGACATTAGTGTTGATGGCAGCACACCACACCTAGCCAGGTGGGCTCCTTACCATGAGAGAGGTTGAGGCAGAGCCACTTCAGAAGGGAAGGGAGTGGTCCAGGTGTAGTCCCTTCCCCCATGAGCCCAGCCCCCATAGAGCACAACCATTCACAGCAAGTAGCTCCCCAAATTAGATTCACTGCCACCAAGTGGATTCTGATTTATAGTGACCCTAGAGGACAGGGTAGAACTGCCCCTGGCGGTTTCCAAGACTGTCAGTCATTACAGGAGTAGGAAGCCTCGTCTTTCTCCGGAGGAGTGGGTGGTGGCTTTGAAGTGCTGGCCTTGCACCTGACTTGGTAGCCCAATGCATAACCACGCCGTCACCAGGGCTCCGTTACTCACACCAAATGTTTGCATGGTTGAACTGAACAGTCCACGCAGGAAAACCCACTGAAGCCACTGCTTCCTTCATCTGAGACCGTCCCCCTCATGCCTGGCTGGCTAATGTCCCCTCAGCAGATGCATTCTGCCTCTAGTGTCCCCTCCCTTCAATCAAGGTGTGCTCCCAGCATTTGATACACGCCTTTCCCCAAGAGCCCTTTGTAGCAGTGTGATATGTGGCCCTTGGATTCCTGCCCACGCCCCAGGCCCCACCACCTGAGTTTGAATTCGGAATGGCTGGGTGTGTCCAGCTGTCTCACAAACCCTTTCCACTTCTGCTTTCTCATCTGCGCATGAAGATCCGATAGCAGCCAGGACACAGTGATGATTCAATGAGGTAATAAGGGTCCGCAGAGTCCCTGGGAGGTGCCAACAGTTAATGTCCACGGCTGCTAACCAGTCGATTGCATGTTCAAGTCCACCTAGAGGTGCCTCGCAGGAAAGGCCTGGTGACTTAGTTCTGAAAGGTCACCTTGTGGAGTCCCTGGAGCATAGTTATCAGACAATGGGCTTGGCTTGGTTGTTGTTTTCCTTTGATCTCCCTGTCTTTGAGGCTCTGCTGCAGATGGGTGTTTGGGGTCCGGACGGCTGGGTTTGTCTTGCTCTCCCACATCCCCTTTGCTCACGTGTGAACAGATGGAGATCAGGAGCCCTGCCTACGGCTCAGTGGGAGGCACCGTTTGGCTGCTAACCACAAGGTCAGCAGTTCAAACCTGCAGGGCCAAACCCACTCCCTGCCCGATAAGGAGGCCAGAGAGGGAATGACAGGATGGCAGGGAGTGGGTGGCAAACCGTCTTTCCTGGGACATGGGCACAGTCTCAAGCTCAGGCACAGCCCCGGTGCCCCTGCTCCCTGGGCAGACCCTTGAGTGGTGGGGATGGCAGGGGGCAGCTCTGTGTGGTTGTAGGTTCCACAGGAGACTGGCTTGTTTGTTTTCATGGCGGGATAAATTTGATTAGGAGACCAAACAGTGGTGATACATTCTTTTCAATGTGGGAGATTTAAAAAATAACATGTACGTGTCTAGTTGTGTGTGCCTAATTTTTTAAAATCATTTTATTGGGGGCTCATACAACTCTTATCACAATCCATACATACATCAATTGTATAAAGCACATCTTTACATTTGTTACCCTCCTCATTCTCAAAACATTTGCTCTCCACATAAGCCCCTGGCATCAGCTCCTCGTTTTCCCCCGTTCCTCCCCAGCCCCCCCTCCCTCATGAACCCTTGATAATTTATAAATTATTTTGTCCTATCTTACACTGTCCGATGTCTCCCTTCAAACAAATTTTTGTTGTCTGTCCTCCAGGGAGGAGGTTATATGAAGATCCTTGTAATCTGTGCCCTCTCTACTCCACCCTCCCGGTATCGCCACTCTCAGTACTGGTTCTGAAGGGATCATCCGTCCTGGATTCCCTGTGTTTCCAGTTCCTATCTGTACCAGTGTACATCCTCTGGTCTAGCCAGATTTGTAAAGTAGAATTGGGATCATGATAGTGGGTGGGGAGGAAGCATGTAGGAACTAGAGAAAAGTTGTATATTTATTTGTTGCTACATTGCACCCTGACTGGCTCATCTCCTCCCCGATACCCTTCCATAAGGGGATGCCCAGTTGCCTACAAATGGGCTTTGGGTCCCCACACTGCACTCCCCCTCATTCACAATGATATTATTTTTTGTTCTTTGATGCCTGATACCTCATCCCTTCAACACTTCGTGATCACACAGGATGGTGTGCTTCTTCCATGTGGGCTTTGTTGCTTCCGAGTTAGATGGCCACTTGTTTACCTTCAAGCCTTTAAGACCCGAGATGCTATATCTTTTGATAGCCGGGAACCATCAGCTTTCTTCACCACATTTGCTTATGTACCCATTTGTCTTCAGGGATCATATCTGGGAGGCAAGCACACAATGATATGATTTTTTGTTCTTTGATGGCTGATAACTGATCCCTTTGGCACCTCGTGATCATGCAAGCTGGTGTGCTTCTTCCATGTGGGCTTTGTTGCTTCTGAGCTAGATGGCCACTTGTTTACCCTCAAGTTTTTAAGACCCTAGATGCCATATCTTGTGATAGCTGGGCACCATCAGCTTTCTTCACCACATTTGCTTATTTACCTGCTTTGTCTTCAGAGATTGTGTCGGGAAGGTGAGCATCATAGAGCGCCAGTTTAATAGCACAAAATATTCTTACATTGAGGGAGTACTTGAGTGGAGGCCCAATGTTCATCTACTACCTTAATACTAAAGCTATAAATATATGCACATAGATCTATTTCCCCATCCTCATATATAAATATATTTACATATGTACATACCTTTATTTAGGACTCTATAAATGCCCTTTGCCTCCTAGCTCTTTCCTCTATTTCCTTTTACTTTCCTCTTGTCCCAAATGCTCAGCCTTCATTTGGGTTACAGTAATTCCTCTCTGTTACATTGCCCTTGATCATGCCCTACCAGGCCTCCTACACCCTCCTCACCACTGATTTGGATCACTGTTGTTCCCTTGTCCCTGGGTTTGTTAACACCAATCCCTTTCCCCCCACCTCCCCCTCTCCCATGTGCGCGGAGAGCTGTCGCTCCCGTTGTTTTCTCCTCCAGATTGTTCATCCAGCCTATCTTATTTAGACAGACCTGTGGACATAATAACATGCACAAAAACAAGACAGAGCAAAACCAAGCAACAAAAGAAAACAAAACAACATCCACAACAACAAAAAGCCAATGACAAAACAAACAAACAAACAAAACACAACACAACAACAACAAAAGAGAAAAGCTTGTAGTTAGTTCAAGGGCTGTTTGTTGGCTGTAGGAGTGTTTTCCGGTCCAGTCTGATGGGGTGCCAAAACCTGGCCAGGAAATCTATTTTTGGTATTCCCTGAGGACTCTGTTGCTCTGTCCCCCTTGCTATTCTGTTGCAAGCCTTTAGTGTTTTGCCTCAGTGTGGTGGGATCAGATTGGATGGAATTCCCACACTGCATCTCTAGTGTTGTCCCCTATAGGGCTATGGGTCAGTGAGGGATGTCTTGTCTCATAGTGGGGCCGGCCATATGGTCTTCTCTGTGGATTGACTGCTCTGAGCAGGAATCTGTCGTCATGGCTTGGTGGGCCAGGATGTGCTCCACTCTCTCTTCCTCCCCCTTCATTTGCTCCCGTGTGCTTTGATCAGACATGTCCCTCTCCCTGAGCTGCAGCTTCAGTGCTGTCCTCTGAAATGAATTCTTCTGAGGGGAGGGGCAGCTGAGACCCCGGTTTTACAGCCTCAGTGCCAGCATTGAGGAGAGAGCGTGCAGCACTGGGGCCAGCCAGCGCCGCGCCCGCCACAGCGGGAGCCCTTTTTTGTGCCCAAGTGTTCTGGGCGCATAGGTTGAAGAAGGCCCGAGGCCACGCCAAAGATCCTCCCAGCTGCTCTGGAAGGGGGGCGGGGGGGTGTCTGGTCACATGTTGACGGGCGGGCGGGAGGCGGTGGCTGCTTGACGTGGTGTCTGCGGGCGCAGAGCCCGCGGGGCCAGCCTCCTCCTCGCTGACGTCCTCGCCGCCGCTCGCCCTGCCCGTCCTGACGCTGCGGAGCGCTGTGCTCCGGGATCGGGGTGCTGCCGGGGGCCGGGGGCCGGGGACCGGCGGCGAGAGCCCGGCCCAGCGGCACCATGGTGCTCTCCGTGCCCGTGATCGCGCTGGGCGCCACGCTGGGCACGGCCACCAGCATCCTCGCGCTCTGCGGGGTCACCTGCCTGTGCCGGCACATGCACCCCAAGAAGGGGCTGCTGCCGCGCGACCGGGACCCCGACCCCGAGAAGGCGAAGCCTGGCGTGCTCCGACCTGCCCAACAGGTGAGTGGAACGGGGCGGCGCCTTGCTCTGGCTGCTGGAGAGGACCTCTCCGAGGTGTGATTGAGCCAGGAGGGAGACCGGGAAGCCTGGGGGAGGGGTGGTCGTGGGGCATAATGCGGGTCAAGGCGTGGGGGGCAAAGAGGGCAAAAGACAAGGCAACTTGGGCGATGACAGGGAGCAGGGAGGGGACTGGGGTGGTGAGGGGCGGAGGGAAGTATGAGAGGTGGCTGGGAGGAAGAAGGAGGTCTCCGGACTGGTTGGGGGGGGCGGGGGGTGGGAGAAGGGAGCAGCGAGGAGATCGGGCAGGGAAGGGGGGTGATGGTTTGGGAAGACTGGCTGTTGGGGGCACCTAGAATGAGGGGGCTGGGAGGAGATGACAGGGGTGGAATTGAGGGGCTACTGCCGGGAAGACCCTCTGGAAGCCGGGGTGGGGGCACTGCTATTCATGGGAGGAGGGGGCCCAGGCGGCAACTGGGTGCTGAGAAGCTGGAGAAAAGCTGAAGGGTCCTACTGACTGGCTGCCAGCAGCCCCAAGCTACAGCCAGCCGGAAGGGTCACTGGGCACCCCTGAAGACCTCCCTGGACACCAGAAGCTTTTATGCCTGCACCTGCTGGTCCCTAGAGCCCACTCAGGCAGGAGACCAGTGTGACCTCCATTGCATGGTGTAACAGAAGGGATCTGAGGGAGATGTGTGGGGAGGCTTGGGCGCAGAAGCTCTGACCTCCAAGATGCCTGCTTGAATGGGGGTGTGCTGGACTTCCTGGGGTGAACCCTTTAGAGTGATTTGGCCCTGGGCCAGGGGGATGATGGAAATGACTTCCCGTGGCCCCTTCCTGCCAGGATCCCTCTCACAGCTTCAGAGTGCCACTCCAATGCCCCGACTCCGCCTCCCTCCATCAATTATTCAGCCGCCCTTTGGGGGCCCAGCTGTGGGGCCTGTGAGCTTAGGGGGAGTGGAAAGCAAAAGCAAATGGCTTTTGTCCTTGAGGCTCTTCCAAGCCTGGAAACATGACATTGACACGCCCAGGCAGAAAGAGAAACCCGCTGGGCAGCGGGCTGTGGGTGAAGTGGACCCCTCACTGGCCAGCCTTCTTGCTATAGGACCCCTTCCAGGGTGGACTTCCAGCCTCACGGCCTTCTCTGCTACCTCTTGGCACCTGACTGACGGTCACTCTCTGCCCACACGGTCCCCTCTCTTTCCCAGAGAGAGCCCTGGGTAGGAGTAGGTAGCTAGAACCTCTACGAATTCTTCCAGATCGCCATCTGATCGACTACGGATTGCCCACCCAATGGCCTATGAAAGCAAAGCAGGCCAGCCTCTTCCAGGCTCAGGACCTTTTTACGGCTTCTCTCTGACGTGGGAATGATCTTCCACAAAGCATCACATTGTGTGAACTCACTCACGACACCACACCTTTCAAACAGCCCCATCAGGAAGATCTACTCTTTTCCCACTTTAAAGAGGAGGAGACTGAGGCTCAGAGAGGGTGGGTGGCTTGCCCAAGCTCACACAGCAGAGAAATCCTAGAGCAGATTCTAACTGGGCTGGGCTGATGGTGCCGGAGTGGGTGCTACGAGCTGCCCCACCATACTCCTTGCCAGCTTGGTGTGGTAGGCACCGAGCGAAAGCCAGTCTCCTCTCCAGCACCAGCTTCAGCACCCCAATTGACAATGCTGCTTAGAAGGCATCAGCCTCTTTCTAGCCTCCCCCACCCCAGTCCTATCTTCCCCTGGCTTTTCAAACAAATAATGAGGCTCCTTCTTTCTACGCAATGCCACCTGCTCAGGAAGGGCTTTTGCCTCGCAGAATAAGGACTCCTGAGGGCGTCCTGGACTACTCGTTAGCTGCTAACTGCCAGGACAGCAGTTTGACCCCTCCAGTCGCCTCTTGGGAGAAAGATGAGGCTTTCTGTCCCCGTCAAGGTTTACAGCTCTGGAATCCCAGCAGGGCACACATCTGCTCTGTCCTGTAGGGGTCACCAGGAGTCATCACTGACTGGATGGCAGTGAGTTTAGTTTTGGGGGGTTTAGTAAGGAGCCCGGCAGAACAATGGTTAAGCTTGGAACTTGGTTGCTAGACAAAAGAGAGGGGATTTGAACCCGGCAATGCACTGCTGAAGAAAAGCCCTGGGCTCTGCCTCTATGAAGGCTTCAGCCTGGGGACCCCATGGGGCGGTGCCACTTGGTCCTGCGGGGGCCCTGCAAGTGGGAATTGACTCTACAGCACACACCTCCAATTAGCCTCTCCGTTATCCTTCCTTCCAAATTCTTGTCTATCCCTGGCCACGTTGGGATACAGTCTTTCTTATTTGCTGACTTAGAAAGGATTTTCCTCAGGTTAGAATGTAAGGCTGATTACAGCAGTCCTGTGCACTCCTTTTTCCCAGCACCTACTCCCTGCCTGGAACCTAGTAGATGTCTGACGCACTGTGGACAAACAAAGGCATCCTGAAGCCCTGGTGGCACAGTGGTTGTGTGCTGGGCTGCTAACTGCAAGGTCAGTGGTTCAGAATCACCAGCCGTATCCCAGGAGAGGCTTTCTACTCCTAGAAAACATACCATCTCAGACGTCCACAGGAGCAATTCTACCTTGTTCTGCAGGGTGGCTAGAAGTCCAAATCTCCTTGAGGGCAGTGAGATTAGTATTCTTTGGTGGTTTTGTGGGCTTCCACCCTGCTGCGATAGTCCTCAGAGCGATTTCTCCACATGTGGTTGGGGCACGTCCTCTCTTGGCAGTGCTAGGGCCACCCTCAGTACTTGCTGAGACACCATATCAAACCCTCACCTGGTTGCTGTGGGGACCAGGCTCTGTAGGTGGGGGTGGGGGAAAGCAGAAAGCTCGAGATGCTGCCTGGCTGCCATGGTGCGCAGAGAGAGCCAGTTACTGACCCAGTTGAAGTCAATAGCGTACATACAGCAGAATGGACGTTCCACAAAGAAAGTAGAGCAGACAGTGTCGGAGGTGGCAGGTGACAGCAGGGGATGCGCTGGGTTCTCATGCTGACAAAGAGGCGGAAGCCTTAAAGAAGGCCTTCCAAATTCCCTTGACAAGAGGGATGGGGCGGAATTTCTTCAGCCTCAACAGAGATGTCCAGACCTGTGTTGACCCCCTGAGAGCTAGGAGGGTTGTGGGATCACAGACCTACTGCCCGTGTCTCCACCACTTACCGGCTGGGCGGCAGAAAGAGTCCTGTGTGTAGCTACGCCTGCCTGGGAGTCAGATGGCTGGCACGAATGGCTGTCTGGGTGAGGTTGAGGTTCATAGTGATTTTGAGAAAAGACTTTTGAGAGCCCCTGGGACCCACAGACCTCCCCCTACTCCCTCCCTATACCTACTCTGTAGATAGAATTTAAAAGGGGTTCTTGGGGCACAGAAAACAATGTCTTTATTCTCATGAATCCCTAACTGAAATAGACTGATTCCTATTCAATGGGGATCTAAGGAACAAACTCCAGTGGTCCTGACAATACCTGGCACTCTGCCCCCACCCCCACCCCCACCTGAGAGAAATGGCAGGTATTTATTTCTCTCTTACCTGGCAGCTGATGAAGACCCCTGGAGAGATAGCTTGTATTCCTCTCTTTAAGTTCTAAATCAGCGGTTCTCAGCCTTCCTCATGCCGCAACCCTTTAATACAGTTCCTCATGTTATGGTGACCCCTTATGTGGGCGTATCTGCATGTGGGTGGACCCACCTGGAGACGGATGGAGGAGCGGATGGAGGAGCGGTGTCTAAGACCATCGGAAATATGGTCTTAGGTTACCCTTGTGAAACGGTCGTTCAACCCCCAAAGGGGTCGCAGCCCACAGGTTGAGAACCGCTGTTCTAAATGATGGCACTTGTGAAATCCCCTGCTAGACCTTGTGATGGGATGGATTAATTAATTGGGTTCATTAGACATTCCTTTGTCAGTAGGTGTCTTTGCTGCATTTTAAAGTTGTCTGACAAGACATCCAGGGGCTTCCCCAGGCAGCTATAGGCATCCATAGCACACACACACACACACACACACACACACACACACACACACACAAGTTCGAGACACCGGCCTTGCTGAACGTGTGGTGGAAGCTCGCAGGCATTTATCACTGACCACGCCGCCTTCCATCCCTACTTCTTTGTCTTGCCTGTATACATACTCCTGATGCTATAGCCTGCCTTTGTAGATAATCCCTGGCCCTTTGGAGCACCCTCCCTCCCCCATCCATTTCTGTCTGGCAGCCCCCATCCCGGGACCTCCCTGCTGTCAGCCGGCTTGCCAAGTGTGATTACTCAGCTGTGAGTTAATTAGGGGAAGGGTCCCAGGGTAGACCATGGGTTTTACATTCAACAATCTGTATGCATTTTGTCCCAGGGGAGCCGTTTCAATCCCTTCCGTGAACCACCCCTCAGCCCACTTTCTCCCCATATTTCCTGCCCCATGCCTCCCTCTTCCCTAACCGTCTGTCCTTGGGTAAATGCTGCCCTTCGGGTCTTCACTGGGTGACGATTCTAACGTGGGGTGAGGGCAGTTCCAGACTGGAAAGGTGACTAAGGGCCATCGTCTTGCGGGGCAGAAACTCGCCGGTCTCTAGCCGACCAAATATGCCTGGGCTCTCGGGATTTTCAGTTCTGTCCCACATTCTCCTCCCACTCTCTCCAGGACGTTCGAATGTGAACGAGCAGTGGGCGGTGGGAGCCAGGTACCATCTAGTTCTTCTCTTCTCTGGCTCATGCTGCCTGATGCTTGTGTGGTCCTCTCCTTCATCGGACTAATTATTTCCAAATGCCTTCTATGCTCACCCCTTCCTCTCCTCTGGATGGAGAAAGATTGGGGCTGTTACATACTCTGGTGTCAATTTGAGGATTTAGAGTGAAGGGGTGGAGTCTAGCCTGTCAGTCAGGATATAGCCAACGAGGCCTCTGTGTGGGCATGATGGCTTTCTCCTGAGGATTCTGGGAATTCCTGTATTTTCCTCCTTGGAGGTGGGAGACACTCTTTCTCTCTCTCTGCTCACT